AATGAGATTATATGTGTATATCATATTGGATTAATTGAACTACTAGATAAATAAAATTCTTGTCTGATGAAATGGATATGCATCTTCTACTCATATACTGTTTCAAATAATATAATTCCTTCATAAAGAATAGTTTGTGTCCTTAATTTGTTTTTAAATATTTTTTGCCTAATTGGACCTTTTTTTTAAATCAGGACATTATGTAAAGCACATAAAACATTTTTATAAAAATAGCCTATAAATTTGTGCCAAAATTTTACCTTTATACCCAATGAAGTAAAACAAAAAAATGTTTGAAATGCACTCAAGAGTAATAGAGAGAGAAATGGAAAAAACCTAGAAGTTTTTTTCCTTCCTTGCTGTATAGAACTGATTGTGATAAATTACTTTACTGTACATCCACCTCTCATTTTCCACATCATTGGAGAAAGCATCCAATTAAATCAAACAACAACCACTCTTATTTAAGTTCAAGTTACTGATCATTTACTAAAATGAATAATAAGTTATGGCATTGATTAAGGCTGAAAATGATTATATGTTATTAGCGTTATGTTAAGGCCAATAGAACAAAAAGACAACTCAAAAATGCCTACTATAGTCTTTCCTAGAATAAAAATGCAGCTGATATTCATTAGTCACTGATTATTTCAAAATCAGAGACCAGCTCAGAATGGTTTTGGCAATATATTAGCAACATCTTCCTAGCTAATACTATCCTCAACCTTTCAGAGAACTGGCTCACATAATCCAGTTCTCTGCAAAAGTGGCACAGAAAGTCCAAACAAAACTCATCTTTTATATTTAACTCTTAAATAAAGTAAAGCCTACTGTGCTGCCTCTTCAACTAACAAAAATCAATTGTGTTCTCACAGTTGAGCATATGCATTTCTAAGTATTTCTTTAACTTGTCCTTATAAAATTGTCTTTTCTTATTACATTTGAAACAACATTAACAGTGGTGTGTTTGATATTTCATATAAAGAAAAGACAAGGTGTTGAAATGTGATGAGTTTGTCTTCAAAACTATTAGAAGCATAACTCAGCAAGTTTTCTTTAGAAATGAGTCTCCCAAAATTAAATCCACTCTTCATGAAATAAATAACAATCCCAATTTACAAATAGTGCAAAGTTGACAATTTAAGTCAACTTTGCATCATTTATTAAAAATAACTGGATTACTGTTTGATTGTCAAAATCAATATTGCAAAAGTCATCCAAAATGATCATTTAAACATTATTACTTGAAAACTATCTGTCAATATTATAAGTATAAAGAAAAGAAGAATATTTACTATTTGGATGAAACATTTATTAATGTGATCATATAGTTTTCAATTGCTGGAAGATAGTACTGTAAAATATTATCAAGATACATAACTTCATGGGTTATCAACTGGATTAAAAAACAAAGTGATTGTGGAAAATGCTTAAGCTGGATCCATACAGGCAATGAAAATCTCTCCTACTTTTGCATCAAAAATAGCAATTGTGATTTTCTCCAGAAATTGAAAGGTTGTAACATTGAAACTTTAAAGAATGGTTTGAAACATTTATTGCACTCAATAATGTGGTTCTGCTATTGTTATAGATAATGCAAGGATATCACAGCATTTGCTCTGAATATCTACCCACAAATTTGTGACTGTGTGACTGAGAGAGATCATGATACCAATAACAACAGGAAATGTAAGAGAAAATGAAAATAGAGCAGAAATATTTGAGTTATCATGTCATTGACATGACTAAAGGAGCAGAAAACACACTATATTACATCTATCAACATATCATGCAGAAGTTAAACCTGATTGAGTTTGCCTGGGGTCAGGTCAAATATTACATTGTACATCCCAATAAAACTTTCAAGTAAGATGATGTCAGAATTTTATTTGAAGATGGTATAAATGCTGCTCATCAATCCACATATGCCTCATTTGTCAATCATGTTAAAAATAATAATAATAATTTGAAAATTTGACTTTTCTTCCAAAGACACTTTGTAGATCTATTAATCATTAATATAGACACACCAGACTCTGGGAATTCTGAATGGAACTGAACAAAATTAAAAAATGATATTTAATAACTGAAGATACAGAAAATTTTTTATTTGTTAAAGTGTTGTCAAATAATTAGAAACTTTGTTTTATTCTATCTGTTAAATATCATATTAATAAATTAAAATGAAAGGCAAACTGTTATTATTATTTGTAAAATACAATTTCAATAATAAAAATAATAAATAATTTAATAATTCATAAATTCATTATAAAACAATTATGAAGTACAGTGGGTGATTCGTTAACAAACAGTTCAGACTGCAAACAAATCAGACAATGAACACTTTCACCAAAGATTTTTATGTTCAGATAATGAACATGTCATAGAACAAACACAAGAAGCAATGCTGCATTTAAAATTTGTAAAGTTAAATCAAATGTTTAAACTGTATTTTACTGGAATTTATGAATGATTTATGGAATGAAACTTTCACAGTATATATAATCTTATATATAATAATCTTTTTTGCACTAGTTGATTTGTTCTCTGAATTTTTGCAAGTGCTTTTCTGAACTTTTTATTTAAAACAACTGATAATATTATGAGACCTAAAAAGAGTGGAGTGTCAAGAACTGTGTTCACTATAGAAACTAAGCAAGAGATAACAGCCAAGGTAGAGAGTTGCTAGGCAGTATGGCTTCAACAGGTCTGCAGTAAGCACAATCTTAGCTATGAAAGATATATTCAAAAAGATTCATGCAGATAAAGGAATAATGAAAATCACGTCTGAGAAACAAAGATGTACCATCCATGAAAAAATGGAGTGATTGCTTTTAGTTTGTTATTACATATAAATAAACATAGTAAAAAATTATATAATTTATTTATTTATTTTTGGGGACTCCAGAATGAATTACACCTGCCTAGTGGTAGGAAATGCACAACTAATTATTCTACTATCAGTGAAATGTTGCAGAAACAGCTATATATAGTGTTTATTGTGGAGGCACTCCATCTCTCATAAAATTGGTTGACTCAAGGCATTGTCACTGTTGCAGCTAGAATACTATAAAGTGTTGAGCATCTCTCAGTATCCCTGGGTCATCACAGAGCATGTCACAGACTACCTTCTTAAAAGAAGAATGATCCAAGGTTAAATGTGGCTTTGAATCCACATCAGTTCCCATAAAAATCAATGGTAAATCGTTAATTAGTTAATGAACAATTCAGGTAGCAAACATTGTCTTTGAACAGATTATGTAATTATAATCTGTTCAAAGTCCACTGTAATTATAAAGCCTTCAAAATTAATAACAATCTAAGATTATTGTTATTTTCCTACAATTATAATCCAATACAATGTAATCATAGTTGTGATCCCATATTTTGTAAGCTTTATTGCTTAAAATAGCTTATTGCTTAGCTAAAATACTATAACCTTAAGATAATGATAACTATAACCAAAATTCTGACTACAATAAATTAAGTTTTATAAGTGTATTTTATGTTTTGGGACATGCTAATTCTGATAACATTAAGTGGCTGATAACATGATTCAATAAGCAGATTCTACTGAATTAGCAAACAGAATTTAAATCATTTCTACATTATATTTGAAAAACTCTAAGTTAATGAGTTTGTTATTGTAAAGAAGTACATTGTATAGAATTATGATAATGACTATACATTTTCATATTTTTGTACACATTAATATAATCCGGATATTTAATTATAACATTTAAATGATTAAAATCAAATGTTTAATTATAAAATTTAAAGTGATATGAAGTAGTTTGTCTTTCATGTTTTAATTAAAATATCATATATTAAAAAATTTGTGCTTATTTGTAAATTTTTCATCCATCTAATGATAATTAGAAAACACATAAACATATAAGTAAAAACAATTACCTTATTTGGAGAAGGCTTATCACTAAAGCGAGAGCAACATACAAGGAAAGTATCTGGAGCAGGTTTTCCTTGTTTAATTTCAGGATCATTACTTCCCAGAACAATATGACCAAACAATTTAAAAAAATCTTGATGCTTTTTTGTTTTTAGGTCAAAACTAAATTTGTTGGAACTTGTAGCAACAGCCATTGGTACATTTTTCTTATAAAGATGTCTAACTAGTCTTTCAACACCTGTTAATTACAGAATTTATGTTAAAACATTAATCAATCTAATTATAGAGAAAAACATAAATTTTAATGTAATTACATGAATTTATAGATAAAGTCTACACAAAAAAATGAATAAATATTCTTCTAGGTGATCATAATTAGAGTATCCCTATTCAATACTACTAAGAGAGATTGAATAGATGTATTTAGCAATCCAAATGTGTCCAAATGCAACTAAATCTGGTAAGGTGACATTTCAGTACATGTGAAACATTTTCATAAAAAAGAACAAGTATCAAAATTCATCACTACAGCATTTCTGGCACTGCAAGCAACAAACATTTTATTTATACTAGACATGAACTTTAGACTTTAGCTCAATGTGTGGTTCCTCCTCCTAAAGATGTAAAACAAAAGTGATAAACAGTGTGTTCAAATGAACAGTATGTTGACAATAATTGATCCTCTGATGCTTCTCATATGTAGTATGATACTGTCTTAAGATTGCCAAATTTGCAACATGGTCTGAATAAACTATACTTTGTAAGTGTTCCCATAACCAAAAATCACACAAATTAAAATCTGGAAAATAAAATTGCCTGGTGGTAGGAAATGCACAACTAATTATTCTGCTATCAGTGAAATGTTGCAGAAACAGCTATATGTAGTGTTTATTGTGGAGGCACTCCATCTCTCATAAAATTGTCACTGTTGCAGTTAGAATACTATAAAGTGTTGAGCATCTCTCAGTATCCCTGGGTCATCACAGAGCATGTCACAGACTACCTTCTTAAAAGAAGAATGATCCAAGGTTAAATGTGGCTTTGAATCCACATCAGACTGCAACTTTAGGTAAGTATAGTGGAATCTACTAAAAAACATGATGATTTTCCATGGCCCAAATGCAACAATTACCAGTATTTACTGTTCCAACCAGTGTAGGAATAAAGCACAGTTCATTCTAGATGGAAATGCATTTCCATCTAGAATGCAAGTCCAGATATGTTCTGGCAAGGTCACAACATATCTGGCCTTGCCAGAATGGAAATGGATATGTTGCAAAGACAGTAAGGTTTCCTGGTTGCTAGTAAACAATTGCAAACCATAGCTGATTTAATAGATAATGCATCAATTTTCTCACCTTTCATGCTGTGCCATATGATACATCCAACTACTGTGATACTGTAGTGCACTATTGGAGCCTGAAGCATTATTCATGGATGCCTCAACAACAACTATGGTAACAACTTGTAAAATGATATGTTTATGCCCTTGACCAAGCAGAATTCCCAGATACCAATTTCAACAAATTGAGTGAGCCGATAGAGCCAATAGTCCTTGGTGATATTCTTACAACAGTAAAATTTCCAACATGCAGTCATAGCATTACCATTATTTTCATAAAAGAGCTTCACAAGAAATGAGCATTCAAGCAACTTGCTAGAATGCACATTTCTAAGAATGACATTCAACAGTTGTGGCCACTTTTATACCCAGAACATGTGCTTATACAAAGAAAACTGTGTTTTTGTTGGTTGCAGCACCAAAAGAGCCATAGTAGTGAGTTTTAGTACTAATTTCTTTTATAAAAACATCTTGTGTGTGTCTTGAAATGCCACAAATCAGATTTGGTTGTATTTAGACTACTTTATATCTCTCTAGACCAGTGTTCCAAAACCGTTTTCTACTTGCAGCACACCCATGGCTCAACACAGCACACCAAAATGTTATTACCCTAAAATACATATATGATATGATACTATTAATAGAATTACATAATGTCACTAAGCTATTATTATTGTTATTATTATCATTCTTCTTCTTATTATTACTATTATTAAACAGACATCAACAACTGTGAGCAAATTTATTTTACATTTAATTTCTTAGAATACATAAAAATGCATTGCTTGTAATAAAGAACAAACAAACATTGTCTTATTTCATCAGTACTGAGGCAGAGAATGAAACACAAGCATAAGAAACACAGCAACTGTGATAAAAATATATAAATAAAACTTGACAATTAATAGAATATGTAAAAGTTCACGTCATACCTTTCACCTTGTGACAGCACACCAATTGCAGAACAAGTTAGTATTTCAAAAGATTTCCATACAAATATATCTTATAATATAAACAAAATTGTTTTATATTTTGTAAAGAGAACAATTATAATTCAGTAACCTGTTAAATTTTCAAATTACATAAAAGTATTACTAATAAAAGTAGCATGTACTGTAGAACCATTAGTCTAATTTATTGATTACTCAAACATGTGATCTATGGAAAGTTTCAACTTACAGAATCTGTAATTGCCACATTAAATTGCAATATAACTATATTTGCCTGAATTTCTTTCACAACCTATCTAGCATGCAAATTGTTGCAACATTAGTGAGAAATTTTTATTTAGGAAAGGATTAATCATTAATACTTCTTTAAATCTCCCAGCCAGAAAAATTTAACAAAGGAAGAAATAGAAAGTAATAAGAAAAGTTCACTTGTTAGTAGTAAGTCTTGGTAATACCAGGACTTAGTAACACCTGACTGACTCCTGATTTATTTTCTTTAACTTCACATGTTATCCCTTAAGTTTATAATAAATAAATATTTGAGATTTATAACTTGTAGCAGAGTAGTAACAAGCATAGCTTACTCATGGTATTGTCAAATCTCTTTGCAAGTAAATTTTGTTTTATCAACAAATACTTAAAACATTTTTTTATACTAAAACTTTTAATATTAAAAAGGAAAACTACAATTTATACAAAATATTTCATAATTTATGTATATGTCCTTAGATAATAGTTATTATCTTCCTCCAAGGAAATATCGTTCTACAAATGGAAGTTTATATTCATTAAAGTAAGAATATTAAGTTTAATGAAGTAATTTCTTGAACATAATCAAGGATGCAATCAGGTAACTATATAAAACTTTAAAAATTATTGGTTTATTCAAGAAAAATATATTTACTGCTAAGTAACTATACAAATGTTTTGTCTTTTCCTTACAAAATGTCTACAGAATGTTGATTGAACTTGCAGTATTTAATCATTGTTAAAATGCTACTGAAATTTCTCAAAATCCTTCACTATATCAAAAAGATATGGCATATATTGTACTATGTTTCTTATATACTATATTAGAATACAAGATTGATTTGCTGTTTAAAAAATCCTCATTTAGGTTCTGTTGTAAAATGAATCATTATTATTGATAAAAATGAAAGTTATTGAATGAATTTAAAATAGCATGTAGAAGGTCATCAGTCTAAGAATTTTTGTTTTTATACACCATTTACATAACTTATCAAAAATAATTTTTAATTTATTGTATTTTAAACTTTCTGAAGTTTCATCACAATGTCTTACCTTGTATATATAATAAAACATGCCATTAAGTATACTGTACACTATTACAATTTTCTTAATTTCTTTCTTATACAAAAAATTATAAATTGAGTTATTAAAATTGCAAATGAGTAAATTGTTTTTTTTATTTCCATGAATCTTTTTAAGATATCTACATAATATTGTCCTTTATAACAATTTTAAGAATAAAGGAGACAATAAGCAACTAAATTAATAATTTGTAATTTTAATAATTTTATTTAATAATTTTAAAATTATTTAATAATTTAATAATTTGTAATAAATGCTATAAGCAACTAAATTAATAATTACATACAAAGTAATTTGTAATTAAAAACCAGATGACTTCTTAAAAATTAGATACAAAACAAAATTACTTCATATCTAATTACTAACTTAGCCTCATTATAGCCTGATAATTCAGCACATCGTTTGGTTTTAAAGTATCAGGTTAGTGGAATGTTTATAAAGGATACATTTAACACAACACACAAATAAAATAAAACTTGTAAATTTAAATTATGGAAAATTTATTATTAAGAATGTCTCCATCTTCAGTTGTATCATCAACCATAAAATAAAATAATTTTCAAATAACTATTCAAAAACAATTTTGTATGAAATTTAATGAGATAATTGAAATATAATTAATTAAAAGAATGTAACAAAATACAGAAACTAGAGAAAATGTCAGAAAATAAATGCACACCTTAGCTTTTGGAATATACAAGCTTTTGGAATATTCAATTGATGTAGACCTATCAAATTAGATTAAAAACATTTTTGTTTCATTAAACTTTTTGCCGAAGTTGATTTCTAAGATGTGATTTTATTTTCTAATTAAAAGAATGTTAATGCTTCAAAATTTTTATATTAACAAAATTGTATGTACAAGTATCCCTCATATAACACAGTAGTTATGTTCCGAAAAAGTGCCACGTTACGCAAATCCATGCTATACAAAACAAAGGACTAATGCAAAACATGGTGTTAGTTTCCAGAAGTTAGAAAAAATATACTATTCATTTTTGTTACTAAGAGAAATATGTTTATTAAAGCAATCAATAATTTATTTCCAATTAATAATCAATTAACAATCACAATTAAAAGTACTGTACTATACATTAATATTAATTTTAGTTAAACCAGGCTGTTTTCTTTTTACAAAGCATCATTGTCATCTCAGCTTTTTTGATCTTAATCAGAAGTATCAGCAACATTTTCATATTTTTTTATTTTTATCATAAAAATTTTTATGGATGACGAAATAAAAATATGTTATTAATCAAAAGTTTGTTCTAGTAGGCCACATTTGTTCAATTGAATAGCAAGTGAATTTTTTCCAGAATTTGTTTGAATACTGAATTTTTTGTGTATCAAGATACTGCTGTATTTTGTTCGTCATCTTTGAATGGATTTTTAAAGGAGTGTTTTCTTGTTGTCTATTTATCCAGTTGATAGAAAATATATTTATAGAACATGATCAAATAAAGTTCCTGTCAAGGAACTGAATTTTTGTAATGTTACCATAAAACTATAAATGATATTTAAATATTTTGTAAAAAAGTTTCAATTCTTTCTTGAATTAATTTAGAGCAATAAAAAATTATTGTTTTAGAAATTTAAATACATAAGATTGAAAGA